TGGTCCTTAATATCGTCCTTACACAAAGAGGCATTATCGTCTCAGATTCTTCCTTGGTTAAACTGGTCTGCCATATCCTCAGACTGTCTTAATACCGCAATTAGAAATATACAACGTTTGTTAGAACTATTACCTCTAGCGTAGTCTATAATTCTGTTCTTCTAAAGGAAGGTTCCACATTGTCATACCAGTCTGGCATATTCTCAGACGGCTAAATTTTTTCAATTGGTTACGCATGGTTTTTGTTTAAAATATTCCATCTCATCAATAATCCTTATCTTCTTGAGAAAGAAAGATTAAATAGATTTCACACCGGTTGTATTAGTCTGCCGTATTCTCAAACTAACTGTAATTGTATTAAATTCATTATATTTCGTGGTCCGATTGACCAAATAACTTCTTTCAATTAATTAATCTTTATGTAAGGTATTGGATGAAATGAAAAAGCTGGTGTCACGAGCGGGATTCGTGACTTCGACCCACTCGGACACCAACTTCTCATTTCAAGGATCGAAGTCACGGTAGCTCAAGTGGTTAGAGCAGCGGCGTATCTAGCCGATGATCGTAGGTTTGAATCCCATTCGTGACTCTAGCTTTTTCATTTCAACCAATACCTCACATAAAAATTGATTAATTGAAATATGTAATTGTATTATTGTAACCTTAACTTGACTTCGATTTCTTTAATTTCGTATGTTTTATACCAAAAATGGTCGTCCTATTGAACAAATTTGGAAGTCTTTGTTTATACAGATGTGCCCTATCCTCAGCAATATGCCAATTTACTTATGTACTTATTTATGTTTATAAGATGGCCAAAGAGCGTTTTGCTACAAATGATCGCTTCCTCATATTGGTCATTGCTCACTATCTAACTTAAAGTATCTTTATCAGCTTCCACAACTATTATTGGTTAAACTTGTATGCCTTATTCTTACGCAAGCCGCAAGCTACTCGATAGTAACCCCACTTTTACCAAGATTTCTTTAAATAGTTATCAGTTTGGGCCAAAGTGGTTTTTCTATTTGACAAACTGGTATTTCTTTCGATTATACTGGTCTGCCACATCCTCAGGTTCAGTTTATATTTATCAACTGTGTTTTTCAACCTTGTATAATTCTGTTTAGTGTACACTTCTTGTATTTACTCAGTACGAAACTACAATAGTTATACTGTATTGTAATTAAAATAAATATTGTTTGTTGTTGTCAGCTGGTTTTTTTCTCGTCCACATATTGATGGATGAAATTGACCTGTGCTGTTCTGTAATCAAGGCTTGTGTAAAATTTTGGTACTGATCTGCCATATCCTCATTCTACCGTAAACCACATTCATCTGTTTACTTACTTCCATATGTAGACAATTATGCCTCGGATTGTACAACAATCAGTTGATAGGACACGGAGAGTGTGTCCATGCTGGATCAGAAAGTCTTTGAAGATTGACTATCGACTGTTGGGATGAGTTCGGATATTCTGGAGTCAAAGTTTCTGCCAGTTTGTCCCACATCTACCGCATCACATGACTCACAAATACATTTGTAGCATGAAAGCTTGAACAGCTCAATCCAGTGATGGTAGTCGTTAGTACATCCATAAGATTTAGATCTGTCCTAGAAGACTGATGTTGTGTTAAGGTTGTCGCGGGGCCACTGTCGCTTCAGTCTTCCGTTGGGATTATTAGGCTAGGTGGTGGATGACAGGTTTTTGACGAAAGGGATCCGATGATGGGGTAGTTTGGAATGGAACGTTTTGAAGCGGGGTTGGACTATCTCGGTTATAAGAGCGACATTTAGGTTGGTATGGATGATGTGATCGGACACATAGAAAGAGAGGTTGACTGATTGGATTCGAATGAAGTTGGAACGCTCAGAAGTCCCATAAAGTTTTCTTTTGTCTGTTACTGAGACCATCCCTAACCATCCCTAAACAAATTTATCCTTGTCGTTGCATTGAATTTTGCCTACAGTCTTGGTTTTTGTATGGCACTTATTTGTCTTTTTTTAACATGGTAACGATTTTCTCGCTGATGTCTTTGATGTAGGAGTGCAACAGAAACCTTTGGAGTCTTCAGTTGTTAGTAAGTTTGTCGCTGTATTTATAATCAGTTTTTTGAATTTTATGGAAACTAGTTGGTCAATGGAAGTGCTCTCGAAACCATTTTTGACGGCAATATGTTTTATTGAATTCATCACTTTGATGTATTTTGCAGGAGATAGGGGTACTCTAATCATTCGATCAATCATCCGTAACCTGCCATTTTTGGTTACACGGGTGTTTGGAGTGTATGTAGATTGATGTGTGCGTTGTTGTCGGTTTTCTGGAAATTTGGCATTTTATTCTACCTTTCCTAGTTTGTGTCGTTAAGCCCAGGAAATTTAACTTGTTATCCTTGACCGCAATTTCTATTGTGTATATGAAGTATGTAAAATTTTGAGCCGTCTTTGTTTTAAATGTGAAATAGTATTTCCAGTTGTCCTTAGAGTTGAATTTAGTCTCCGTGGAGACAGTAGAAAACCTTGGAGTTTTTAAGTGGCCCCGTGAGATAAGGCCCTGCCTCTTGGGGGCGGACGGCGTCCTTTGACGGCCCATTAACCCCCGGCAATCGCCGTTGAACAATGGAATTCCGGGAGACGGGGGTGAACGCGCACCAGTGGATGGCCGGCGTTTCACCTGGGCTTTACTGCCCATCGGCAGATAAATTTCGATTTTCTTTTCAAGAAGGGTTGAGCCTCTCTTCGACAAATCGGTCAAGGGAGGACACGGAAAATCGGATTAGTTATGGATTTATAAAAAAATGAATAATTTAGAATACGACAGCACACCGTTTAAAAAATTAGCTCAAGTCAATTCCGAATTATACGATGAGAAAAGTACGGATGAACAGAGGTATAAGGTTGGGGAAGACAATTGATAAATATAATGCCTGGATAGGGCAGACCGGTGTAACGGAAGGACATTCCAGTTTGTTCGAAAAGGGCATGTATAAACGGATACATGATTAGAATAATGGAGATAATCTAGGGTCATAATTGAAAAAAAGAAGAATTTTGGGGCGCCGTGAAAATGGCTCTTTACCCACTTCACACAAACTTAAACTAATGGAATATAAATAAAACGAGGAGGTTTGGCATAAGAGAATAAAGCAGACCAGTAGGACCGAAGGAAATACCAGTTTGTCAAATATGAAAACTAATTTAGCTTAAACTGACACATTGTTAAATAAATCGAGGAAATAACAATGGAATAGCGTGCGATTTATCTAAGAATAAGCCATACCAGTTTAACCTGTAATAATTCTGGAAGCTTATAAAAAACCTGAAGTTAGTGAGCTATAACCAATACGAAAAATAAATCAATAGTCCTATTTGATGAAGGAGGAACAAGGCTGTTTCCTTGCATTTCACAAGCCTAAGCTAAATAAATGATGAGGATAGGGCAGACCTGTATAACCAAAGGACATCCCAGTTTGTCCAACAGAACGACCTATTTGGTATAAACCGTTACATAATTAAAGCAATCGAAGTTAAATTAGGGTTACAATCCAGTGGAATGCGGTTGTCTAAGATTAAGCCATACTAGTGTAACATATAATTGTGGAAGCTTATAAAAAACCTGAAAAAATCAATAGTCCTATTTGATAAACGAGGAGCAAGGCTCTTTCGCCGCATACACAAGATTAAGATGAATAAATAAAGAGGTTTGGCATAAGGTTGAGGATAGGGCAGACCTATATAACCAAAGGACATCCCAGTTTGTTTAACAGGACGATCAAATTTGGTATAAACCGATACCTAATTGAAGAAATCTAAGATAATCTAAGGTTACAATCGTGTGGAATACGGTCGTCTAAGAATCGTACCAGCCTAACCTACAATGATTTATGGTACATACAACACACATAGGGAAATAGTTTCTTCGGGGGTTAGACTATATTAACAACAATCTAAAACCAAAGAAGAAAATGATAAAAAATTAAAAACATAAACGCAGGAAACGCATTGACGCTTAGAAGACTTAGGATATGTCAGATCAGTATAAACCATAATATTTTATACAACCACGGTAGTAAAGAAGTCTTCTTTTGAGAAAATTTTTTTTATTGCAAATCATGGAGGAAATAGAAAAAAAACTTAAAAGGACAAAGACAGGATACGGCATACTACTGTCACACCAAATAATGTTTTTATTAGAAATGTTCTCGAACAAGAAATAGTCACACTTTAATTACAAAGAATGAGAATATGGCAGACATGCTTAACAAATACTTGACCCATTTTTTGCCTGGAATAAAATTGATTGTAGAACTTCAGAGCGATGAAAGTTAGAAAATATATAAATGACAACCTTATCTGAGAATAGGTCAGCCAATTATGACCTGTGTGAAACCTGTTCGACCTAGTGATCTTTCTTTAAAGGGACCAAATTGTGGAATACCGGAGAGATAATAGTTCTAACAATTGGTATATATTGCATCAAGGTTTCACGTTAGGCTAAGGATAAGGCAGACTGGTACGACTAGGCGTGGTAAGACTATGAGAAATAGACGCCTTTTCGCCTTTTGATGTCCGTTTTAACAAAGCTTGTTCTGTAGTGTTGTGATTAACAATTGAATCTTATATTTTATATTAGCTGCGTTCATCAAATATATTTTTAAACACTATGATGATTGTGTTTGAAGTTTGAGATTCGTGAATATAATTATCAACCGATTTCTGGGGGGTTGTTTAAGTTCCAATCCGACGTCGGCATTAAAAGTAGAAAATTATGACCTTCCGTTATAAGCCGGTAATTCCGAATAGGCTGGGGATCGACAAAGTGAAATCCCTGAGCAACGATAAGGGTGAAACAATAGCCAGAGAGATCAGAGTTTCTCCAGCCCCCCGGACAAGAATTTGCGACATCCGCAAGTTCAGAAGTCGTCCTTTAACCAACTCCCCGGGAACAGATAACCCTCCCTGCAAACTATCCGTTATCGACGTGGAAAGTTTAGCCAATTACCTGCTACTTGGAGGGTGGCGTTCCTGCTGGTCGCGCTGCCGGCCTGGTTGGTGGCGACGCACCAGTAGACACCGTCGTCCTGCTCTTTCTTACCGTGTGCGACCCTCAGGAAGAACAAGGACCCTTCGAAGTTGACGACCCGGTGGGTCTTCGACTCGGGGCTGGACAGGTCGAGCTTCTCGCCGTCTTTGTACCAGTCGATCCGCGGCTCGGGCTTCCCTTCCGCTTTGCAGTTGAGCGTCACCGGGTCGTTTTTCGGCACTATCGCGTCCGAAGGGTGCTCCGTTATCCTCGGCGAACGGAATTGACCTGAAATACAACAAAACAAAGAATCAAATAATTTGTCCTTTGCCAAATAGCATTCTCTAAAGTAATACATAAACATGAAAGCACACATGAATTAAACAGTACTATTATCATGGTGAAACAAAGCAAAATGAACTCATCATTTTACATAATTTACGAAGAATGGTCACGGTTTAAACGCACTCTCAAACAATACTCTGTGCTATTAATTTAGAATGTGACGATATCAATTATGCCCAAGCCTTTCTAATGAATATGAGCGCAAACTGTATTTTTTAAAACCTAATTATTTTGTCTTCCTAGAATATATTCTTTGAAAAACATTAGTTGTAGCACAATTAATTGCAATTCCCCTTATCTAAATGGAGAGAAGAGAGACACAAACTTGGTCAAAAAAGCTTCGTTTAAGTTTTACGGCCAAAAAAGCCTGATTTTCTTTACATTTTAGCAAATATCTCAAAAACTGTTGACGGCTTTAAAAACGCCAAAAAGAAAAGGTTTCAGAGATTTTAAAATTAACTCCATCATATGAACAGGGTCAGTGGTTTGGTTAACTTAATAAGTCTAAAGTTAATATGTGTAAGCTCGTCGGTTGAATTATACAGTGTGGTCCTCCGGGCCGGATAGAGTATAGGGAAATGCATTCAGGCTTATTATATATATATATATATTCATATGGCCATGAATTTACCTCCAACCAGATTAAAAACGCTTCGGTTAAATGTCACAAACACAAAAACCTGCTTTTCTTTACATTTTTGCAAATTTCTCAAAAACTGTTGACGGCTTTTAAAAACCCCAAAAAAACGTTTCAGAGCTTTTAAAATTAACTCTCACATCATATGAACATGGTCAGTGGTTTGGCTAACTTAATAAGCATAAAGTTAATATTTGTAAGATCGTCGGTTGAATTATACAGTGTGGTCCTCGGGGCCGGATAGGGTATAGAGAAATGCGTTCAGGCTTATTATATGTATGTATATATATTTATATGGCCATGAATTTATCCCCAACAAGAATAAAAACGCTTCGTTTAATTGTCACGAACACAAAAACCTGCTTTTCTTTACATTTTTGCAAATATCTCAAAAACTGTTGACGGCTTTTTAAAACGCCAAAAAGAAAATGTTTCAGAGATTTAAAATTAACTCCCACATCATATGAACAGGGTCAGTGCTTTGGCTAACTTAATAAGCCTAAAGTTAATATGTGTAAGATCGTCGGTTGAATTATCCAGGTGTGGTCCTCCGGGCCGGATAGATTATAGAGAAATGCGTTCAGGCTTATTATGTATATGTATATATATTTATATGGCCATGAATTTATCCCCAACAAGATTAAAAACGCTTCGTTTAATTGTCACAAACACAAAAAACCTGTTTTTCTCTACATTTTGGCAAATATCTCAGAAAATATTGTCAAATATGTCAACATATATATTTTATAATATTTTTAAATGTGTATAAAAAGAGTTGGGAATGAATAAACCTATGTACCGGGTCAAAATTTGTTTATCCCAGCAAAAAGAAAACATGTCTTTCATTAAATTATTTCAACTATCTCAGAAACTATTAGTTTAATTAATGAATTTAACTAATTAATTGTAGAGGACTGAATTTAGTTTATTGTAAAACTATCACTGTAATGAATAGGGTCAGTTTCTTTGATTCGGCTGTAAACAAGCCTGACTTCAAATACAAGATCGTCTGTTGTAATACACATTTTGGTCCTCTGGGCCGGATTTCTAGAACTTGGCCTTTATTAATTAGATCAGATTTTTTCATTGGGGATTTGAGATTGAAGTGCTTAAAAAGAACGGAAGGTACAAAGGTTTTGTATTTTTTGTGTGTTTGCATGAGACCGCGATCTGGATGGACCACCAAAATTGGTCTTTTTATGAATATTTCATGCATGTATTGTGCGTAGGTTTTTACAAGGTTCATTCAACCCATTTCCTCACTGATGACGGCGCAATGCCGAAACGTTTTGAGCGACTGCACGTCTTGTACACCACCTTACAGATAGTTTCTATGCTGATGTTCTTAAATAAAACTATCTCAGAAATGGATAAAAGGATCCAAAATCGTTTCTGGGCTGGAAAAACTACTATTCGCAAATAAGAAAATCGGAATGGAATCCCCGAGGGTGAAATTGAATCTTTTGAAAAGTCTAATTTATTAGAACGTTCGAGATTGTGCCTATATATCAGGGAAACCGTCAACCCGATAGATACCACGAAATATAAAGTGATAAATCTTTCTTTCAAAAGTACTTTCTGGCAAATTTGACGGGTTTTTTATTAACGGAAAATTCGCATAAGACCGCGAGTTTTTAAGTTTCCGGGGTTGGTGGGAGAAAAAGGTGCTACAAGGAAGAAGGAAGGGAAAAGGAGAAGAATTTCCGGGGGGAACAATGCGAAATGATTTCACCCCGCATGTACAAGGGTTTGCCTCTGGCCCTAAGCCAAACTACCAACAATTCGTCAATTTTTTTCACCCTTATTCGAAAAGCCAGGGTTCTTTCCCTTCGGGAGTTGTGACCATCCTAAAGAAAACGTGCTTGAAAGAATCGAATCTATGAAAAATGGCCGTCATTCTCATCGAAAATAGAAATAAGAAACATTGCAAGGATAAAAAGCGGTCCTGTTATAAAAGCTTTTCAGCCTTGAAAATTCCACCTTTTCCCCGTCTGCCATCCCATCCCTCTACTCTACCCGGGACTTCACAGTGGCAAAATCAAAAGTAACACCGAGTAAAAGACAAACAGAACAATTCAAACAAACTTTCCCACCTGATGTGTTGCCTCTTGGTACATCCAAACTTTCATATATATCAGAGAAAGCAAGGCTTAAAGTACACTCAAGATCCGACACAATGTAAGTTTAAACAAAGTACAAATGCAAAATTAAATTCTACCACCATGGTTTATAAATCAATCGGAAAATCCTACGAGTGGAAAATAAAAATAAAACGTCCAGCAAGTTTTAAATATTCTAAAAATATTAACCAAGTTTCCTTTCCGAGTTATAAATAATTTCACCTGTTGAAAACTTGTTCATTTTTTAAACTTGGCGTTTTATCGATGGGCTTTTTTACTTAAAATTTTTAAGTTGATCCCCGTTTCCTTGAAATTGCCCAACTCGACTTAATTCGGTCTCTGGTTTTGAAAAAAAATATTTTTTTTTTTCATTCTATCAACCCCGTTGCGTGAATTATTCCGGCCCGACTCATTTTCTAACCAACTTAAATAGGTTATTAGTCTCTAACTTTATTGCGCTGTTTTTCCCTCATTTAATTAATATTCTGCGTTAAATTAGTAAAATGGGTTTGCTAGTTTGAAACCGGTTTACGCTTCTTGAATGGATGCATTAATTAAATCAGGGCAAAAATGAAATTGTATGGTAAACATCTGCCTGTCAATATCGATTTTAAACAATTTTCACTTTCAAGACGAGTCAGACTAAGTTATAAGACGTATGATGGCATATAATCCGACGAAATTTTATTCGCAATTTGGCCGTTTCAGTTTAAGTATACCAATTCTGATCGGTTTGAACTGTCAGAAGCGTTTCACTTTCTCCCCATCATCAGTGGTGGGTCTGTGAGGGGTGGGTAGAAATCAGGCTTCGTGTATTTTTTTTGGACGAGGGCTAGAGATTGTTGGCTCTTGCACCAACTAGTTTTCGAAGTCCGCTTGACCAATTAATATTTTTCAATTAATTAAAGTTTTTAGTTGAGATAAAAAGTCAGTGTCACGAGCGGGATTCGAACCCACGACCTTTGACTAGATACGCCGCTACTTTACCACTTGAGCTATCGTGATATCGATCCACTCGGACACTAACTTCCCAACTCAACCCCACCTTTTGAATTTTCCTCCTTTGGGCCTGGTCAAGCGGACCACGAAAACTAGTGAATTTAATAAGTTAAATGAAGTATATCTTCTCTAAAGCTCTCCGTGGCCATTTCATTTGTCGCCGAGAATCAAATAGATTACACGACATTTGAAAAATGGCAAAAAGGAGGGAAAATTCAAAAGGTGGGGTTGAGATGGGAAGTTAGTGTCCGAGTGGATCGAAGTCACGATAGCTGAAGTCGTAGAGTAGCGGCGTAATAAACCGAAGGTCGCGGGTTCGAATCCCGCACGTGACAACGACTTTTTTATCTCAACTAAAAACCTTAATTATTTCAAAAATATTAATTTGTCGAGCGGACCACGAAAACTAGTGAAGTTGATCACGTGGTTAATTATCATATATCAAAGTAGTTAGTGTTAGGATATATGGGGAATGTGATGGTTCGATAAGCATAGGGGATGGTTAGAGATGGTTTCATGCCAGATCTGTTTGTGTGGATTGGGATTGGTTGGAGGCGGTTGGTGAAATTATGGTTCAATATTGATTATGTGGTTAATTATCATATATGAAAGTAGTTTGTGTTGGGATTAATGGTGATTGTTCGATAATCATAGGAGATGGTTAGAGATGGTTGCACACCAGATCTGTTTGTATGGATTGGGACCAATGTCAGAGACCGCAGTTGATAATGTGACTAAATATGGTTTAGCACTGATTAGAATGGCTACATATCATATATCACTATATTTTGAATAAGGTTTGGTTAGAAGCGGTTGGTGATGTTATGGTTCAATGTTGGTCCCGTGGTTAATTATCATATGTGATATGTGAGCAATGTGATGGTTCGATAATCGCAGGAAATGGTTCGAGATGGTTGCACGCCAGATCTGTTTGTATGGATTGGGATTGTTTAGAGAAGGAAGATGATAATGTGGCTAACTATGGTTTGAGACTGATTAGAGATGGTTACAGGCCATAAATCACTATATTCTGGATAAGGATTGGTTAGAGGCGGTTGGTGATGTGATGTTTAATGTGGATAGTAGTGGCTAAAGATGGTTACATACCAGATTTAACAGGAGTTCAGTTTAGGTTGGTCGAAGATGGTTTGGGAGACTATCGTAATGGATGAAACTATAGGTTCATG